GGAAGTTTCAGCAGGGTGTTGCCTCTGTACCAAGCAATATATCTTAAGCTAATCTAGTCCATTGAGGATGCCTACAAGAGCTCAATGGAAGTAACATCTGTTCAGCAACATGGCTCCTGAAGGCACCAAGAGCACATCACCATTCATCCTTGGGCCGTCTCCTGTGGCCCAGAATAAAGAGCAGAGTGATGATATAAAATTACATACTTTCCACCTCAAGTCCTGAAAACATACAGCCCTGAGATACCAGCTTTTGTCACTCCTTCCTACACACATCAGTTCTGCTCAGTAATGATAAGACTGTACTCCATATTAGCTCTTCTTGAAACAATTATTTCACACAATTAGGTGTCCTCCATGATAAAGTTACTGAATCACTAATAAAGAGGACACAGCACCATATGGATTATGGACTGCTAAGATTGCATCATGATCTATCAGTTGCCAAAAGCCACTACATTTCTCACCTTCTTATCGACACAGGACATCTGGGCATACATTCAAAAGTAAAATGTTTATTTACTTGTCTTTGAAGGATGGACATTTTGATAGATTACTCAATATTAAGGTCTGCATGCTCTGCCCAGTACAGATTTTTGTCATTGACTCAGCAGATTTTTATACTACATCTGTAGAATATATGCATCACACAGAGTTTTCTCTCCTGTTAGGAATGTATAAATGCTTTGTCTCCAGGAGATCTCAATTGTTACTGATTTTTAAAAAAATAGTACTTCATCCTGAAAGTAAGTGAAAATAATTTCAAACAGTCTATGTCAGTCTGTGTTTGCATTTAACTGGGATGAAGAAAAAACCCCAATAAATTAAAGTAATTAACTTGATTTTTTCCCCTTAGAATCATAAGGATTATAGCCATAGATCAGACCTGTGACTTCAAAGTGCAGGTAAAATGGCACTGGTTATTTCAGAAATATATTGTTGAATGCTTAAGGTAACCATAGTGACCATCTTTCTTTGTTATATCCTTCACTCACAGGAAGGTAAAAGGGGAATCAATTGAAAACAAAAATCAAGGAATTAGGTATATAGTTCCAGAAGAAAGATTTTCATATGTTGCACTGTCTATAAGAAGTGTAAAATTCTTATAGATTTAGATGACGGTGTCTTCTTTACGGAGTTCTATATAAATGTCTTGACACACAATATTTCATCAAGCAAATGACAAAAATCCTTCATGTGAACAAACTCATTTTTAAATAACTATGTTTTCTTACATAACTTCTAGAGAGATATTTGCCTGCAATAATAGATATCTTAAAAGAATAAATTCTAGCAATCCTTATGAAAAAACAATGTTTATCTTATGCTTCTAATTAGTTGGGAGCTGGTAATCAACCAATAAAATATATTTTGTAAAAGAGAGGCATAGTACACTTAACCTCACACCTCATAAAAAGCTTTGTAGTCATCCCAATGGTGGCTCTCAGCATCCTGTAAAATACTTGTAGCACAAACTCTGATGCAGTAGTTTGTTACTTGAAGCTGCAGAACACTGATGAATTCCTGATATTGTTGCAAAGGCACTAGGAACAGGGGTCTGTTCAGAGAGAATGATCAAAGAGACAATGATTGAAAGGCTGTGCAGTAAAAGGTAACAATCCCCAGTACTGCAAATGGTTTTGATTAATAAGTATCAATCATTCATTTCCTCTCAGTCCTGAACTCTGAACCTAGCATTTACTTTTGAAAGACATTTTTTCACAAGTTCTTTAAATATATCTGCTTGTCTACAAATCTTCATTTAAGAAAGTCACTGAGAAGTAAATTACTTCATCCTATTTTACAATACAAAAGTACATTTGTCATTCACTTATCTGGAGATTCTGTGCTGCAGAATACTTGCATCAGCAATTATTAAATCTGCACTGAGTGTGATAAAGAAAACAAGCACAGAGTACAGATATTGCTTTTGGTAGGTATGTACTAAAACTCAACCTAAGTAGAATTATTGAGCAGTATTTTGCCTCAGACTTCCCATTCACAAAGAGATACTTCATGCAGAAGAGAGTAAAACATCAGAGGGAAAGTAGCTCAACAGTGTATACAACCATTCAGAAACCATGTATTCCTTGAAAATTGTGCTAGGTCAGGTGTCTCTACCAAAAGGCAGAGTTTCTACTTTTAAATTACATATAGCCAGAAAAATATGGACCAAAAAAGACATTCCTAATATATTAAATCAAGATCTCCTAAAAGCACAGCAAACGTAGTTATATTGCCCCTCAAGTCAAACACTGTCTTAGACTCCACACTCCTACTTCATATCTTCCTTCATTTTAATTCTGCATGCAACAAAAAATAAATTCTATAACTACACTGGATGTATTAATTTACATGTCTGAATACAGATGGTGCAAGGAAAAAGCACAGATATGTATTTTTATATTGTTCACATATTATATATGTGCTAAATCAGATTTTATGAAAATTCAGCTACTGCAAAGGTCAGGTAAGGAAATGAAGGCCTTAGCCCTTCATTTAAATGAGAGCAGAGTATGTTCAGTTCACCGGACAATCCCATTTTCTCAAGCTTAATAATTAAAAAATATCTATCTGCAAATCAAATGGAGACCTTAAACATAAATAATTTGTTTTGTAATGGCTGCTTTAGACTATCAGTAGCTTTGATTCAGGTCTTTCCATAAATAGTACACACAGTGCATGTGCTAAAACATATGATGCAATTTAGAAAAATACTATACTGCATCACCAAAATAGAATGAAGCTGCATATTATTTATGCTTGAACTGAACTATTTTAAGTAAAAAGGACTCACTTTTTGCTTGTTTCTTTCATTAAATTGCTGTACATTGTAAAATGCTGAAAGACATATATGGCTGTGGAAAGAGCAGCATACAAGACTTGCAGGGGAGCCTTGGAGGGAACATCTTTGCTTTTCTCCTCTAGTCTTGCCAGGACAGCTGTTGCCACTTTGCTGCAAGCCTCTACAAAGTTTGCTCTAATTTCCTGAAGAGAATCATCTCTGCATGCCAGAGCCAATGGAAGCAACGTGTCCAGTTCCTCCATGATGTCAGAACAAAACTAGAAGAAATAAATGTGGCATAGAGTTATTTGTATTCTGACAGCACTGTTTAATTTACACACACTAGGGTAAGATACTTGAATAATGAAATTGGCACAAACCACAAAGATATTGAATCAGCTTTACAAACATTTTAATTTGTTAAACAGGGGATAAACATTTATCTTCAGAAAATGAATTATTCTTTCATTCCTTCTTGCTTTAAAGCTCCACATTATATATTGGGGAAAACAACGAAAACCACCTTACACTAGTAATGCCTTCATTTTGTTTCTGATTTCACTGTATGTACATTCAAAGTGTAAGGTTAATTCCTTGTAAACAAAGATAGCTTTCTAAACTAATTTGTTTTGAAAAATATGCAAACACATCTCTTGGGTTATATACAAACACGTATACAAACACTGAATTTGGAAACAAACTTGTCATCCTTAGTAATTTCATACATTGATCTCCCTGAAATAATCTCCCCAAAACTTGTGTGTTATTTTAAGCAAACATTCATTAACAACATTCCAAATCTGCTAGAATAGTTGCAAAGCTTACTAAATAAAAACACTTTCAAACATACATTTCCATAGAAAAATTATTTAATTAATCATCATAAATGACCTTTCAGGCAAATCAAAGGACTTTAATTTGGTCATATTACTGGTTATGCTGATTATTTGAATGGCACATCTAATAATATGAATACAGGAAATCCCTTTATAGCAGTGCTTCAAAGCTTTCAACATTTTCCCATTGAACCACTTGGTAATAGAGCAGATACTAATCAGAATGTATTAGAACATTTTGGTTGCAAAAAATAAGGTCAGTGAAGTTTAAATCTTTCAAGTACAGACTATAGGCTACTGTATAAAGCTCTGTTCAGCATCACATTGTAATGGCTCTCACTTTCTTCTTAATTCCATTTAAATAAGATATAGAATATTAATAGTACTCTAAGTACTTCAAAGTGTACATAGCAAACAGCTTCGGCATTCTGTCTCCCCTCAAACTTGAGATCTTTTGATACCTACCTTGGCAATTTGCTTTGGCTGCTCCTCCTGTTGGACTGCTCCACAGGACTCCCTCATTTGCTGGTTGTTTACAAGACTCATTGCACAGCCTGCAGCTGAAGACTCTTCTTTCTGCTCATGCTGAAGAATTTTAGTTGAAAAATCCTCGATTGCTATTGTTATACAGTGAGCCACAGAAGAAGACAGGTCTTCAAAAGCATTTCTCCAGCCAAAATTCAGTAAAATAGGCTGCAATACATATTTATACTAAATCAATCCAAAGTCATTATTGAGTGTTATTATTGTCTGAAAACTAAACAAACATCTGTAATTAAATTACAGGATACCATCATATTCTGAAATTAATTATAAGAACTGAAAATATAGTCTGCTAGCCTTGAAATCATATTAAAAGCAGTATTTACACTCAAGAAAAATAAACATGTATAACACTAATAAATTAATCATCAAATCTTTAAGGAAAACAAATCCTGTTTAAACAAGACACCTTTTAAAAAACATGCTTCATCTTTACTTGATTTATAGTCTTTAACAGAATCTATTCAACAAAGTTACAAGAATTGGTAACCATTTCCAATAGTATACCATATAATACCACAATGTATGCCCTGTAGTAATTACCACTGAAAGGTAACAACTGGAAGTTATTAACCATGAATTCTAATGGGAAACACTTAAGAGAAGTTGGTTCAGCCACACTGTATTTCACTTGTCTAGAGTTGGATTTAGCAGCAGTTAAAATGTCTAAATAGAGATTTGTAGGTTTTAGAAATGCTGGCTTTTACTATGGTTTACATCAGTTTCCTGCGTTCTTTAAACAGGCTTCTGAAGTCATCTGAAGCGTAATAGTTGCCAGAAGTAGACACAGTAGGACATCATCACTTTTCAACTTAACTCACTTTGTATTGCTCATATGACACACATCAGACTTAAACCTTACCAGAAGTGGCCAATTGAGAATTGCACCACTGTAAGAAACGTATTTTAATGATGTACAATGATGTTCAGTAAAGATCCCCACCATGAGGGCATAGTAGGAGAACAGAAAAGGATTCCTAGCAAACTGCAGATACAATACTAAACTGGAAGACAATGAAGGGCTACAAAGTGAAGCTGTTCCAGCTTACTTCAATATAGAAGTATCCTCCTTCCTTTCCCCATTCCCAACATTCAACTCCAGCCAAGCACAGAGACAGCCCCAATCGACACCCACTTTTGTATTCTCCCCCTACTTTTTTTTCTTATCTTGGGTCAAGGAAAGCCAAATCTATTCAAAGTATTCTTCTTTGTAATCTATACATTAGTCTCAAAAACTGATTCAAAGTACATTTTAAAAAATTCAGCATTAAAATTGAGCCATTAGGAAATGTAAATTCACTATTACATAGTATCGGAATTGTTAGTGCATTTAGGTTCCACAAAATCAACAATTAAAAATGCGATTATTAGTAAATGAAAGACAGACAGAAACTTAATCTTGTACATACATTTTACAAATAATAGTACTACAAATAGTAGTTTGTTGGCACCAAAGAAACCAGACATTCAGTCCCTACAGAATGAACCATGATCAAACTCCAAGAACTTGATAGATTTTCTTCAAGATTCTGCTGTATTTAAGAATGTATTTAGTACTGAAGAAAGCTATCATACTTTTTAATTTATTTTCTGCTTTGTCATGAGGTATCTTATATTTATGTCAAAATCTTTATTATTAAATACTCACTACTTTATGAATGCTATAAAATTTTATTCCATCTTAACTGAGAATTTGCACCTAAAATTGATCACAGTAGCTAAAATAATGAAACTATGATAATAGATGTTTATAATGAACATGGTGACAGAGCACACTGAAGACACACAAAAAAGAAAATCCCATACAAAATGTAAGACTCTTTTCATACTTACCTCTTCTACCTGAAGTAACTGTTCAGGAAGCACGCTGGTTTCGTTTGCTCTAGGTTCTCCTATTAAAAGCTTCCCACTAGCCTTCTTCAGAACTCCTGCACAGTATGATAAAAGAGATCAAAGTTAAGATTAATTCTGTAGAAAAGTCAGCAGCCTACAACACCTTCCATACATCAATATGAAGCATTAAAAAACCCTCAACAAGATGTAGAGGAATACTAATGTTAGGATAAAGTCAAATTCAAGTTATACACAGTTTCTTTTATGTTACATGATGAAATCCACATCCCATTGTATTCATTTTATACAAATGCACATGTGTAAAACATAGTTTCTTTTGCCACTAATTCATTTGTATACTGATTCTTAGGGAGGACAGATAACATTAAATCAGCTGTGTAGAAAATAATTTATATTATTTGTTCAATAAATTATATGAATTGCACACTAATATATTCTAGTTTTCACTTATTTGGAAATGTTGATATGCTAAGAATATAGTTAACTAGTACAGTTATAAGCAAAATAACACTGACATGAACAAGAGAATCTCCTTAAGAAGGGTTGGTACAAAGCTCACTCATAAACCCTGGGGGAATATTGCTCCAGTTTTGACAAGGACAAACCAATGTCTATGGCAGATATCACTGTGCTCGGTGTTTCAAGTGATTCAGGTCCTTGAAGTGCATTGATGATAACTTCCTCTTCCAAGTGACACAGGCAGAAATGGAGGGGTTTGTTTGGGATGTGAAAGTCACAGGCAGCCTCTGCTGCAGTGACCATGATATAGTGGAGGTCAGGATTCTGAGTGCAGAGAGGAGGGTGGAAAAAAAAGCTCCCAGCATTGAACTTCATAAGAGCAAATTTTGGCCTCTTGAAGCACCTGCTTGGAGAAGTCCCATGGGATAAGGCTCTAGATAATGGGACCCAAGAAAGCTGGTTAATATTCAAGGAACACCTCTGCCAAGCTGAAGAGAGTTGGAAAAAAAAAAGTCCAGGAGGTCTGCCTGCATGAACAGAAGATCCTAACCAAACTCAAACACAAAATGAAGCATGCAGAGGATGGAAGTAAGGATGGCTAACCTGGGAGGAACACATAATATCTGAGAATCCATGGACACAGTTAGGGAAGCTAAAGCCCAAATGCAATTGAATTTGGCCAGGGATGTCAAAGACAACAAGAAGAGCTTCTCTAAGTACACAGGTGACAAATGGAAGACTAGGGAAATTGTGAGCCTATTACTGGGACCTAGTTACGCAGACATAGTAAAGGCTGAGGTACTGAATGTCTTCTTTGACTCGGTATTTACTAGCAAGACCAGACTTCAAGGCTCCAGAGACCAGAAGGCAAGGTTGGAACAAGGAGCATGTACCCTTGGTGGAAGAGGATAAGGTCTGAGAATACCTGAACACTCAACACACAGAAATCCTTGGGCCTTCATGGGATGCACCCACAAGTGCCAAGGGAGCTGGCAGATGTCATTGCAAGGCCACTCTCAATAACCTTTGATTAATCATGCCAACTGGGAGAAGTGTTCAAAGACTGGAGGAAAGTAAATGTCACTCTTATGTCCAAGGAGAAGGATGCAGCAAATCAGAGGTTTGTCAACTGCACCTCAATCCCTGGGAAGGGGATGGAACAGTTAATCCTAAAAACTGTCAGGCACATTGCTGACAAAAAATTCATCAGGAGTACTCAGCATGGCTTCAACAAGGGGAAGTCATGCTTGACCAACTTGATAAATTTCTACAAAGCAATGACTGGCCTGGTAGATGAGGGGAGAGCAGTGGATAGTCTACCTGGACTTCAGTAAGGCCCTTATCGCTCTCCTGTAAGACCCCAGTATAGGACAAGCTGTAGACAAGCTCTTGGTGTGTGGGCTGGATAAGCAGTCAGTGAAGTGAAAACTGGCTGAATAGCTAGGCCCCAAACATGATGATCAGTAACACAAACTAGCTGGAGGCCAATAAGTCTACCTGGAGTAAGGCCCTTATCGCTCTCCTGTAAGACCCCAGTATAGGACAAGCTGTAGACAAGCTCTTGGTGTGTGGGCTGGATAAGCAGTCAGTGAAGTGAAAACTGGCTGAATAGCTAGGCCCCAAACATGATGATCAGTAACACAAACTAGCTGGAGGCCAATAATTAGTGATCTATCTCAATACTAGGTCCGCTCCTGTTTAATATCTTCACTTATCGCTCTCCTGTAAGACCCCAGTATAGGACAAGCTGTAGACAAGCTCTTGGTGTGTGGGCTGGATAAGCAGTCAGTGAAGTGAAAACTGGCTGAATAGCTAGGCCCCAAACATGATGATCAGTAACACAAACTAGCTGGAGGCCAATAATTAGTGATCTATCTCAATACTAGGTCCGCTCCTGTTTAATATCTTCATTAATAGGGGATAGGGAAAGGGCGTCTCCTCCGCAAGTTTGCAGCTGACATCAGACTGGTTGGCAGAGGGTCATGGTAGCATCCACAGGGACCTCAACCAGCTGGAGAAATGGGCACACTAAAACCTCATGAAGTTCAAAAATGGTATGTGCTGGAGAGAAGCTTTGGATAAAAGGACCTGGGGATTCAGAACAACATGAAGTTGAAGATGAGCCAGCAATGAGTCCTTGCTGCAAAGGTATCTGGTGGCATCAGACAAGGCATTGCCAACAGGTCAAAGGAAGTGAATCTTCCTCACAGAATCATAGAATTTAAGGGTTGGAATGTACCTTACAGATCATCTAGTCCCAACCCTCCCTGCCATGGGACACTTACTCGCTAGAGCAGGTTGCTCAAGGCCTCATCCACCCTGGCCTTGAACACCACCAGGGTTGGGGGACCTAGGGCACCTATCATGTGCCTGGGCAGCACTGGTGAGGCCACAGCTGGAGTGATGTGTACAGTTCTAGGCTACTCAGTACAAGACAGACACAAACATACTGGAAAGTGTCTAACACAGGGCCATGAAGATGAAGAAAGGAATGGAGCATCTCTCCCATGAGGACAGGCTGAGAGCACAGGGACTGTAAGGCAAGAGAAGTGTCAGGGTGAGATAACATTTATGTATATAAATACCTAAAGGGAGGGTGCAAAGAGGACAACCAGACACTTCTCATTGGTACCCAGCAACAGGACCAGTGGCTACAGTACAGACAGAGACACAGGACGTTCCTTCAGAATATCAGGAAACACTTTTTTTTTTGCTGTGTGGATGACCAAGCACTGTAAGAGGTTTTCCTGAGAGGCTATGGAATCTCCAACCTTGGAGATACTCAAAAGCTGTCTGGACATGATCATGGGCTGTAAAGGCCCTGCTTGAGCAGAGGTTGTTGGACAAGACGATCTCCAAAGATCCCTTCCAACCTCAACCATTTTTCAATCCTTTGAGTCCATATTTCAGTAAAAATTTAAGAATGAAACCAAACTATATGATATTTTTAAAATCTGTCTTCTAGCATAAAGGTGGTAAGCAACACGGGTGCAGATATTCCTAATGTATTTTATGCGAAATTAAAACCAAGAGGTTTTAAACGATTGGGTGTTGTCAAAGCACTGTAATGATTATCTTCTAAGCATAAACTTAAAGGTCTTCAGTAACCTGAGCCTACTGGTAGTACATGGCCAAGGCTAAGAGGCTTTTTTCTTGCTATGAAATTTCCAGTATTTGCACATACAGAAAATTTAATTTACCTAAAGTAGATTTTACCTTTCCCCTAAACAATTTGCACTCTGAAGATGAACCCTTCTCTTTTCATACACCTATACAACATGCTAGAGCTTCAAGGTTTTTATGGGGTTTTTCCTGTGTTCGGTTTTGGTTTTGTTTGGTTGACTGGTTTTGTTTGGTATTTTTCTCCCATAAGTACTGTCCTTGTTTGCATTTTCAAAAGGCATTGGCAGATTTGAGTTGAGAAAAATGAAAGATAAAATGATAGGACATAAACCAGAAGATAGTAATCAGGTTATCTAACTCCCTGATCATTCAACACATTATGACCAGCACCATAAACTTACTGGTTTTTTTTCAGTAAGGTTTAATGTTTTTTTACAATGAAGTTTCCTACAATTTTATCTAGAAATAACTACAGAATTATAAAAACCAAAACAATCCTAACTGACTGCATACTTTCCTTCTTTCCTATTCTGCGCTTTCTACCCTAAATTTGCCTTTTTTCCCCTGCAATTCTATTTAGAGATATAAAATTAGATTCAAACTATGCACACAAGTGAGTATCTATATATTCACATTCAATTACAGTCACTACTTAGATCAGCTATTTATAACTTTTTACATCAAGACTTTTAAGAAAACCTTTAACCCTTAACCCAAAATCACTGTGTACTTATGGCAGTACTGCCTTACCTGTTAAGAACTCACAGCTGAGAAAAATAGCTGATGGTAGATTTGTGACTCCAGGACCAGAGGTGAATAGTCAAATGATTCTTCCATCAGCATCAGTTATTTTAAAGGCTCCTTCATTATTAAATTAATATGTTCTGCTAGACTGCCTCATCTCCTTTTGTAACTAACAGCCTGGGCATGCTTGCTTTATACTTGTATCTATATCTTTATCTATCTATCTATGTATCTGCATGCATGTAGGCTCACACACATATAGAAACTTTCTTGGTCTTCTCAAAGAAGCCCTTAGGTCAAGGTTCCCATATTTTACTGAGTTCCTTTGGTTTCTCAAATTTTAGCCTTCCCCAAGCCTTATCTGGGTGAAGCTGGCCTTAGTCTTCTTCAATTTAACTTCTGGCTATCAAGGGCTCCCTTCACACTTTCCACTGATCACTGAACATTTAGCCAGAGCCCCCATAAAGCCTCTGGATTTCACATGCTACTTTATACACCCTTCCTCTCAAACTTTGTTTCAACAGAGACATATATCATATTTCAGCCTTCCTGGCCTGCTACTTCTTCACTTGTCTTCTGTCTTCCCCTAATCAGCAAGCTCTCCTGGGAAACAGAAATGCAGCTTTATTCAAGGTATAGCCGCTACTCAACCCAAATTTGCCACTGCAGACAGGAAGGAATGCAATGGGATGGAGGAAGTATCCCTATCTAGACAGTCATTTTTCTACACAAATTCTTTGACTTCTCT